AAAAAGAAACCAAATCTTTGAATATAAGTACATTACTCTTTCTTATTATAAATTATTTGCAGTAGTTTACACTGACTGAAAAATTAAAAAGAAGGAAAGTGTTTTGTACTATGCTGTGAAAGTCAACCAGCAGGTATTTTCTGTTAGGTGACTGGGTTACAAAAATCATCCTCAGATGGTTCAGACATTATGCTGCAGTGTAGGTCAGGAAGAAGCTCTGAACAGAACAATATTTTCTCACCATCTCAAAAAAATCTTTTGGTCCACTAAAAAGAAAAGACTTAAAGCAGTGAAATAGATTGGGTCACAACTGTTAAACATGTGTTAATCCCTTGACCATTTTGACATTCTATCAGATTCTGTGAAACAAGTTCAAAACACACTTCTGGGAAGGAGGAACATAATACCATCCAGATTTCCAAACCTGTGATGTGTTACTGGGGAGAGAAATCATTGAACACTCTGAAAAATGTGTTTCTGATACTTAGTTTTGCATTCACACTGGAAATAGCAAATGTGATATAACTAAATGTACAGAATTTGATGCTGTTTCAGTTATAATTACCATCAATAATCCAATTAATGTTGCAAACTAGAAAAATTACTAGTGATTAAAATTCGTGTAGTACAATCTTCTTTAACTGAAAATTATAGCTCTTGGGAGGATGCTTTTATATTTGTTATCAAATTTTAGTGAAGTAAAATGGGTGGATAGAGGTTGCCATACCTGTAAGAGTCTGTTGTGGAAAAGTTCCATTCCATTAATTTCATCACTTATTGTATGAATTTCATCATTTATTGTCTTTTGTATGCAAGATATAAAGTCAGAATTTTTGTGGAGGGATACATATTGCTTATGAGGAATTTATTAACTATCAGTGCATGTGTGCTAAGTTGCTTCAGTCATTTCCGACACTTTGCAACCCCATGGAGCCTGCCAGGCTCCTCTGTCCGTGGGATTCTCCAGGCAAGAGCACTGGAGAGGGTTGCCATGCCCTCCTCCAGGAGATCTTCTGGACCCAGGGATCAAACCCAGGTCTCTTAACATCTCCTGCATTGGCAGGTGGGTACCTTACCACTGGCGACACCTGAGCTGGTTCTTTAATTTTACCACTAGCACCATTAAGTATCAGAGAGATATGCAAACTTATAAATAGCCATGGTGGAGTCAACAGCAGGACACAAGAGGCACACAGCTGACGTTGTGGAGCTTCAGAAGCTATAGATTCTGTTCCTTGGGTGTCAGAGATCAGGAGAGGTTGTGCACAGGCAGGGGCACTATGCTGAGACCAGAGAGACAGAGACTAGGATGTGGGATATTTGAGAGGAAGGGAAGAGTGTGGACAAAACCAGCACTTTGGAATCATCTCCAGGCATCTTTTGCTTTCATGACTCTGCCCATCTTGACTGCTTGCAGGGAATCACTCTGACCTTTTAAAATTGAACTTCTTGGAACAAAGCTCAGAAATTAAGACAAAACTAACCCTACCCAATTCACAGCATGGCTGGAAAGTCAAATGTTTAGATAAAATGGCATTGTAGAAGGATTGTAAAATATGGAGTAGTATGAGTTGTGAATGGCTGTTTGGAGATAAAAGATGCCAAATTGGTCCAAGATAATTCTAAGGACATGAGTAATACTACATCACATATACAGCAAGTGTGAGTGAGTGCCTACTGTGGCAATTCTAAAAGCCTGGGAAATGAAAATGATGAGATATAGTCTTTATCATTAAAAAGCCTCTTGATGAAAGTGAAAGAGGAGAGTGGAAAAGTTGGCTTAAAGCTCAACATTCAGAAAACTAAGATCATGGCATCTGGTCCCATCACCTGATGGGAAATAGATGGGGAGACAGTGGAAACAGTGTCAGACTGTTTTTTGGGGCTCCAAAATCACTATGGATAGTGACTGCAGCCATGAAATTAAAAGATGGTTACTCCTTGGAAGGAAAGTTATGAAAAACGTAGATAGCATATTAAAAAGCAGAGACATTACTTTGCAACAAAGGTCCGTCTGGTCAAGGCTGTGGTTTTTCCAGTGGTCATGTATGGATGTGAGAGTTGGACTGTGAAGAAAGCTGAGCACCAAAAAATTGATGTTTTTGAACTGCGGCTTTTGAACTGTGGTGTTGGAGAAGACTCTTGAGAGTCCCTTGGACTGCAAGGAGATCCAACTTGTCCATCCTAAAGGAGATCAGTCCTGGGTGTTCATTGGAAGGACTGATGCTGAAGTTGAGACTCCAGTACTTTGGCCACCTCATGCGAAGAGTTGACTCATTGGAAAAGACCCTGATGCTGGGAGGTATTGGGGGCAGGAGGAGAAGGGGCAACAGAGGATGAGATGGCTGGATGGCATCACCGACTCGATGGACATGAGTTTGAGTAAATTCCGGGAGTTGGTCATGGACAGGGAGACCTGGCATGCTGCGATTCATGGGGTCACAAAGAGTTGGACACGACTGAGCAACTGAACTGAACTGAACTGATTGAGAAGGAAAGAGCCTTTGCCTTTCCTGAGCTTCACTTGTCTGTTTGCATACCAGATATTTCCTGTGAGTGGGTTGCCAATTCCACCTCCAGGGGATCTTCCTGACCCAGGGATCGAACTCATATCTCCTGCATCACTGGCAGATTCTTTAATGCTAGAGCCACCTTTGATCTGTATCTCAGCTTAAATGGTGATTCTCTCAAGTCACCAGGAGTGGAGGAAGCATTCTGATTACAGGGTCACCGCTAAGGTGATGTGGTTCTGAAACCAGCTGCAGGCCCAGAGGTTTTCAATTCTCTTGCTTCCTGGAATGGCTAAGGCAGCAGCTGCTTTTGAGGGTCAGTTCTGCATAATTACTCTGAGAGGATCAGGCAGACCAACTCGGACCTGGTCTCCTGGTTTTGAATATTTTTGCTTAAAATCATGACATTGGTTTCCATTATCTACAACTGTACTCTGATTGGTGAAGACAGTAATAAATATAATCCACCTTATGAATGTGTCATAAAAGAATAGATCATAGTATTGCCTACATAAATGCTAAAAAAGCATTTTTTCAGACAGTGTCTGTGTGAGCAATAATCAAGTAGCAAAGATAAAATAAATACAAATTATGCACTTAGCAGTCATGTATATAAACAACAGGACTTCCCAGATGGCACAGTGGTAAAGAATCTGCCTGCCAATGCAGGAGATGCAGGTTCAATCCCTGGTCCAGGAAGATCCCCTGCAGGAAGAAATGACAACCCACTCCAGTATTCTTGCCTGGAAAATTCCATGGACAGCGGTGCCTGTCAGGCTGCAGTCCATGGGGTCGCAAAGAGTCAGACATGGTGAGCTACTGAGCACTTATGCACACATATAAACAATGCTTTTTTATATACTTTAAAAAAATAATTTATATGAAGAAAAATTTTTTAATTCTGCTAAACACACACTTAATAATTAAATAAATAGAAAAACAGTGTACTTGTTGAAGCCTTGTCATTATTTATAAATTTTATTACTTAAAAGTGCTCCTGAGTTTTCTAATTGTTTTTGGTAGTATATTTTCAAGTTGAATTTCTAACTTTCTACCAAAATTATTTTCAATTTGACACATCTTAATCTAAAGAATAGACCAACAAAAATGCTAAAATTAAGGATGACTGAACTGATATATTACCTTGAAGTAGATAAAGTATTCTATGTAAGACCCAGAATTCATAGGTTTAAATTAAAATAATAAGAAAAGTAACCACATAAAATCTTTGAACTCTGCATGTTAAGAGCATCACAAAATCAAAATATAAATGAGAAGCTAGAGAATAAATTTTGCAACATTTATTTTACTAAGACTCTATAAAAGTACTATATAAATCTAGTGTAATTAATAAATGGGAAAGTGTCTTAAATGCTTTTCAACTAAATAAATTAAAAAAAATTAAAATATGCTAAAAATACTCCTAATTAAAAACATGGATACAAATGTAAATATGAGATAAACTCTTTCATTTATTCAACTGGAAAAACTTTTGAATTTTATAATATTCATACTGAAAAGATGAAGAATTATTTCTCTTCAGAGGCAATTAAAAAGCTTAGTGTTTAGATTGAACAATTCAAGTCTCTTTATTTATTCCTGGAAGAGTTGGCCAAGTTACTGGAACTAGAATGTTCACCACAGCTTTGTTTATGATATAACAAATAACAGAAAAAGAGAAATGGTCAAATAAAATGTATTTTAAAATCTAAATAAATATTATAATAAATTGTTTTATAGCTCTGAAAATATAGGAAGAGTGTACATATATATATATATATGTGTATGTGTGTATATATATATATATATATATATTTGCAAGATAAGTTGCTTCAGTTGTGTCCAGCTCTGTGTAACCCCATGGACTGTATCCCACCAGGCTCCTCTGTCCATGAGATTCTCTAGGCGAGAATACTGGAGTGGGTTGCTATGCCTTCCTTCAGGATACCTTTCTGACCCAGAGATCGAACCCATGCCTCTTACTTCTCCTGCATTGGCAGGCAGGTTCTTTACTGCTAGCGCCACCTGGGAAGTATATATGTATATATGCTTTATGGAAAAAATCTTTAACATGTATTGTTAAGTACAATAAACAAAGATGTACTCTATTATCTGTTGCATAAATATGAACAATTATCTGTATATTCATAAGCAAGTGTACATTGGTGCATGCACAAAAAATTGTCTTGGAAGTGACTTTAAACACTGGGATGTGGAATGTGGAGAAGGACACATTGTTTCACTACTTGTATTTTTCTACATTATTTGAATTTTCCAAAATTGACTATGACATGTTTTAATTAGAAACTATATCCACATGGATTACATAAATTGTGTGATCACAGGAATTTTAACCTTTTCTGTTTTATACATAGTTTAAAGAGTCTAGTTAGTGGGTATAGTGGATCATTTTATCCCCCCTTTCTTGAAAATCTACTAGGTGACTATGAAAGAGCTTTTCATTAATTTTCTCCTTAATCTGTTCCACAGTGGTGTGAATCACAGGACTGATGCTGCCTCTGCTTATGTGAAGCTTCAGAGACTCAGAAACATCACCAGGACTTGGCTAATGCCACCCAAAGGTAGGAAATGGAGAACGGATTTCAACACATATGTTCTCTCCTCATGCTGTGCGCCTTCCACATAGATTTCACTTCCTGTTGACCATGATGAAGATATATTTCCTTCACACAATACATTTCTTACATTAAAAAGTGTTTTAATTTCAAGTATAAATGCATGCTTAACTTTTGCCCTTGAATAAAACTGGAAGATAACATGCCGAGGTGACACTGCATCAGTAAAAAATGATAATCTATTATTACGGTATGAGTAGGTGTGATATCTTCTCGCTAATGACTTGCTATGCATAAGCACCAGGAGATGAACTTGACATTTGATACTGATACAGCCGCAAAGGGAAGACCTTGGATTGTTCTTAAGGAACACTTTTATACCTTTCTTAAAGTTTGAAGAGCTTTATTTTCCTAAAATGGAAGTATAGAATCGGTCCTTGTCAGAAGGGAGCAACACAGGGCCCTAGCGATTCACACCTCCTGTGTGTGCAATTAAAGTGATGCTTTAATTTGAACCTATACCTGAATTTTGTCATAGGAGTCACTGGTATTTTAAAACATTCTTTTATCTCCCACCAAAGAACTTTGGGGAAAAGGGTGACAGATTCTTGCTTGAATCTGGAACCATGGCATTTGAGTGGGCTGAGGGCTGGAGACCCCAGAGGCTGCTTTTGTCTCATAAGCAGTTATTTCCATTTTAGTGTGTTTATAGCCACAACTTGGATGTTGGAGGATTAACGCAGGCTTGACTGAAAGTTTACTGAAGAGAATGCAGACTAGGTATTTCTTGCCTTACTTGTCTCTGTTCTCCTTGATCTCAGGTTTATCCTCTCTGCTCAGCAGAGTATCAGATCAAATGTCACCTCTTCCAAGAAAGAGGTCTTTTCCTCACCTGGCAGAAATAGGCAAAGAAATCAGAAACTGGTCTCTGTAAGTACAATTCAGGGACCTTCCCAACACAGGCTTTTCCTATTCTCTGCTGTTCAGAAGCCCCCAGTGCCTCCCGCAGCACCTCCTATATCTGGGCTTGAATCCTCAGCCTGGCAGGTCAAACTCTGTCCATGGAGGCCTGCCTTATTCTTTATATGCCCTGTTCCTCTGATACCCACTCCCATCCTTGGCCTTCAAACACCACACTAGATCCCCTCACACCTAAGTGCATGGAAAAGCCTCCTTCACTCCTTTAACTCACATATCCCTCAGAACACCTTCCTTTTTCATTCCTTAAATTAATTACATTAAAATGATTTTTATAGGTTTATATTATGCATCATCAGTCACCACTTAACAGTTACATATAATCTCTCCCCTTGGGAAGTTCTAGTCCAATTTCTCTGTGGCAGTTCACAACACATTCATCACTAGACCATGTCCTATGGTTACCTGCATCAGTATCACTTCTGTCATTTACTACATATTCCTTTTATGTCTGACCCTACCCCCCACCCCGAGTACTTCAGTTCAGTTCAGTTAGGTCGCTCAGTCGTGTCCAACTCTTTGCAACCCCATGAACCACAGCACGCCAGGCCTCCCTGTCCATCACCAACTCCCAGACTCTACTCAAACTCATGTCCATCGAGTCGGTGATGCCATCCAGCCATCTCATCCTCTGTCGCCCCCTTCTCCTCCTGCCCCCAATACCTCCCAGCATCAGGGTTTTTTCCAATGAGTCAACTCTTCGCATGAAGTGGCCAAAGTATTGGAGTTTCAGCTTCAGCATCAGTCCTTCCAATGAACACCCAGGACTGATCTCCTTGAGGGTGGACTGGTTGGATCTCCTTGCCGTCCAAGGGACTCTCAAGAGTCTTCTCCAACACCACAGTTCAAAAGCGTCATTTTTCGGCGCTCAGCTTTCTTCACAGTCCAACTCTCACACATACATGACCATTGGAAAAACCATAACCTTGACTAGACAGACCTTTGTTGGCAAAGTAATGTCTCTGCTTTTTAATATGCTATCTAGGTTGGTCATAACTTTCCTTCCAAGGAGTAAGCATCTTTTAATTTCATGACTGCAATCACCTCCTGCAGTGATTTTGGAGCCCAGAAAAATAAAGTCAGCCNATTGGAATGAAAACTGAGAACTTACACATGGCTTGAAAAAAAAAAAGAAAGAAAACTTCACTCTCTGGAAGTGACTGATAGGAAACCTAGGAGCTCTTTGTGTTTGTTGAGGATTTCTGCATACAGAAGGCATTCATATTTGGCCCAAGTTTTCTGAGATTTTTTTTCTCGGTTTCAAAAATTATGTCTCATTGCCACATCATGTCTTGACTTCTAGATGCAAACTAGAGTGACATGAGTGTATTACATTTGTCTTCATGTAAAACATACTGTTCAGCATGGAAGTTTTATTTCTACTCTGAACTCATAACAACTGTTGATTTATTTTTTCCCTAAATTGTTTTTGATTTGTAGTTGCGCCAGCCCACATGCAGGTAAACACACAAATATACAATTTGGATGTCAGTGTTGTAACATCTGTGAAAAAGGCCAAAAGAAGTCCAACTTTTCTTTGTGACTATCTCAAAGGTCTTTACTGCCATCCCTTCTTATCTGCAGATATGTAGCTCTTTCTGTGATGCATGCCTCATGTACCTGGGAACACATCTTTCCCATGCTGGCACACAGTTCTCAGAACCAGAAAGAGAAAAAAAGGCCTAGATGACTAGAATTAAAATAACAGCTTCATTTAAAGCTTTTCTAAAGTCAAATATCTGAACATCTTCCAGAACCCAAGAAGTGATGGAGATCAATCTCTTGTCCCATTCTGAGGGTTGTCTTTTCATTTTGTTTTTGCTTTCCTTTGCTGTGTAAAAGCTTTTAAGTGTAATTAGGTCCCATTTATTTTTGTTTTTATTTTCACTGCTCTAGGAGGGGAGGTCAAAAAAGGTCTTGCTGCAATTTATGTCAAAAAGTGTTCTGCCTGTTTTCCTCTAAAAGATTTATAGTATCTGGCCTTACATGTAGGTCTTTAATCTATTTTGAGTTTATTTTGTGTATGGTGTTAGGAGTGTTCTAATTTCATTTTTTACTTGTAGCTATCCAGTTTTCCCAGAAGCACTTATTGAGGAGACTGTCTTTTCTTCATTGTATATTCTTGACTCCTTTGTCACAGATTAGGTGACCACAGTACTTGGTTTTATCTCTGGGCTTCCTATCCTGCTCTGCTGATCTATGTTTCTGTTTTGGGGGCGAGTATCATACTGCCTTGTTTACTGTAGCTTTGCAGTGTAGGCTGAAGTCCTGGCAGCACTGTGTACTGCAAAAGCCAAGGATGGAAGCAACCTAAATGTCCATCAGCAGAAGAATGGATGAAGAAGATGTGTCACATATACAGTGGAACATTACTCAGCCACAGAAAGAAACAAAATAGTCCCATTTGCAGAGACGTGGATGGACCTAGACATTGTCATACAGAGTGAGTAAGTCAAGTCAGAAAGAGAAACACAAATATCATATAATATTGCTTCCATGTGGAATCCAGAATAATGGTACAGATGAACTTTTTCAAAGCAGAAATAGAGACACAGATGTAGACAGGAAACTTATGGTTACCTGGGGCAATAGGGGCGGGACAGATGAATTGGAAGGTTGGGATTGATATATATACACTATTGATACTATATAAAGTAGGAAACTAAAAAAAATAATAATAAAATAGATAACCAGTGAGAACCTACTTTATAGCACAGGGAACTCTGCTGAATGCTCTGTGGTGACTTAAATAGGTGGGAAATCTCAAAGAGAGGGACTATATGTATATATATATAACTGATTTACTTCACTGTACAGCAGAAGCTAGCACAACATTGTAAAGCAACTGAACTCTAATAATGTTTTTAAAAAACCATTATGCCATTAAGCAAAAAAAAAAGATGTGATAGAATTATTTTTCTCCCAAATCTCAAAATTGCAAACTTGGTAAGGTTGAACACTTTCCACAAATTAGTGTCTTGAAACAAAACATCTTCTGCTAAATATGGAAGTGGGTACATTTCAATATTCCTTTTTCCCTCTCCCAAGTTCTCCCCTTGGTGCTTCCTGTCACTGCTGTTCCTCCAGTCCCCCACTGCAAGCCCTTTCTGTACAACCCTGCAGCACTGAAGCGGCGCAATTCTAAAGTAGAATTTAGGACCTGACACAGGGGAAGGGATCTGGCTAACTCTGCGGAGAGAATCTAATTAGGGAGAGGGATTTGAAGAGCTGGAGTTTTTCTAGGACACCTGGCTCACCCTTCTGTGTAATGGAAGTTGTCACTGGCCCTTTGCTGGCAGCTGAGGCATCAGGATGTGGGTGTCACTTCTCATCTGAATTAAATGCTGCCTCCAGCATGACATTTCAGGCAAACAGGAACTGCTGGGTGCTCAGGCACTGGGATCTTTACCTGAAGTCCCTTTCAACTTGGAGACACTGTAATTTTGCAGAGGGAGAGAGCTGTCAGCACAGGATAAGGGAGAACTTTCTAAAACTCAGAACTACCGGTCACCAGACAGACTGTTCAGTTCCACTACTGGCCAATTTCAGCAGAGATATGATTTGCTGATCAGATGAATGGAGGGTCCACCTCAGAGCCACAGGACTTACTAAGTTAAAGCTTTCAGCCTCAGTCTCACACCCATAAAATGGTGGATATTATATTGATTCATTTACATATTCATTCATTGTTACTTTATTGGGAATCCACTGTGTGCCAGGCATTCTTCTAGGGATGGAGATACAATAATTAACAAAAGAGGTGAGGTTCTTGTCCTTATGGAGCATGTATTTGAATGAGGAAAGAAAGAAAACAAGCCAATTAAGGACTGGCTATCATGTGATACTACTGTTATAAAGGGATGGAGAATGATGCTGGAAATGTTGTCAAACCTGTGGAATCAAATAAAATTGAATGATTTTTTTAAAAAAATTTTTTATCTTGAATTGAACCATAGTTTATTTATAATGTGTTAGTTTCAGGTGTATAGCAGAGTGATTCAGTTATACATATACAGGTATCTATTCTT